GTTAGGCGGTGGAGGAGGTCAGAGGGTCGACGGGTTTGAAGAAGAGCAGGGGATGTTGATGGGTGCTGTGATGTGAGATGAAGAGGAAGATGAACAGTGCAGTTTTTCTTTTTTTTTGTGGGGAAGAAGAAAGAAGATTACGGCTGTGAAAACAAGGAATGAAATTACATAGTAACCTAGGTGTCACACCATAATTAGGCTAATACAAAATTTTATTTCATTTCCAATATCTCCATCTGATTACAGCACTCCCTTATAAAGAAAAGAAAATACACTTTGGAAATCTTCTAAAATCACTCAAATCTCTCCAAATCAATTAGATACCAAAACTGAATAACTACTAAATTTAGGCTACAATTCAAATTTCGAATTCAAACTACTAAAACTGAAAATTAAAAAAAGTCAAATAACAAATTTGGGAAGCTGTCATTCTTGTTCTCATCATGCTGTGTACCAGATTCTGAGATATTTGAAGAGTGCCCCCAGAAAGGGGCTGATATTCAGAAAGAGTGGACATGTGAGCATCGAGGGTTATTGCGACTCTGATTGGGCTAGCTGTGCTGATGACAGGAGGTCCACCTCGGGATACTGTATCTTTATAGGAGGCAACTTAGTCTCGTGGAAGAGCAAGAAGCAGTCAGTGGTGGCGAGATCAACAGCTGAGGCAGAGTATAGAGCTATGGCCTTAGGAGTTGCTGAGTTGCTATGATTGAAGAGTATGCTGGTTGAGCTGGAGCTGGATCAAGGAGCTAAGATAAAGTTATGGTGTGATAACAAGTCAAAGAGTATGCTGGTTGAGCTGGAGCTGGATCAAGGAGCTAAGATAAAGTTATGGTGTGATAACAAGTCAGCTATCAGTATCGCCAACAACCCAGTGCAGCATGATAGAACCAAACACATCGAGATCGATAGGTTCTTCATCAAAGAGAAGTTGGATAGTGGACTACTGGAGCTAAGTCATGTTTCAACTAAGGACCAGACAGCAGATTGTCTGACTAAAGGTCTTAGCTCATTAGATATGATTAGAGGATGTGACAAGATGAGCTTAGTGGATATCTTTCGCCCATCTTGAGGAGGAGTGTTGACATATTAGTAATATATAAGGACTTATTTGTAATTTGTGTAGGGGTCTATATAAGCCCAAGAGATCTCATAATAAGAGTAAGGGTTTTCAATTCATCTGATATGATACTATTTCTTTAACTATTAGAGACCCTTTTAGACCCATCTTTTGTAGCCGTCTGTCAGATCAGTGGTGAATTCAGGTCAACCAAGACTTAATAGGATTGGGTATGGGCATGTAGAACTGACACGTTAATTTACCAGAGTTGCTTATGGGTTAGTTTATATCAGTAATCCAGAGCAACGTAACTTAATCTCCTCCTATAATGACTTAATAGCCTGTAAACTAAAATTTACCACTGCCAAAAATGGTTATATGTGAATGTTTCAAAAACACGGGAGATATGTACTGAAAGTAAGCGATCAAAGAGCACAAATAAAATTAACGACAGCCCTACCAAAAAAAAAAGGTATGTATTCATTTGAGTTTGTATCAAGCAGAAGAGGAAAACAAAATATACAACCTGAGGAAATTGGTAATTCAAGCTCAAGTCCTTCCGCCCAAGAATTCTGGTTAGGACTACCAATAACACTGCATATTTTATGTATCTCATCCACTTCACTGCAAAATGGAAGGTCATAGCATAAGTTGATGATTGCAGCAAAACTTCTGGGGCCCAATACCTGCATCATCCACACATAGCATACTGCCAGTCATGAAATTAACACAGAAGGCAAAGATATAGGAGCAAAACAGAAGCATTTAGCACTTGCCAGCGAGTGGAAACATATTCCGTATAAGGTGGTTGTGAACACACTTCTCGAGCAAGGTCAAAATCTGCAACTTTTATGATGCCGTTTGTGGTCAAAATATTTTCTGCTAAGTAATGAAAAACATTGTACATCTATGCATACAGAACAACTTTACTACCTGCATGCACGTTCTAACGGGTTAAATGCATGAAATGATTTGAGATTATATTCTGAGACACCTATAAAAGTATAGTAGACATTAGCTCATAGTTCAACAACTTTAATTGTTTTTTTTTTTGTCAATGAAAACTTTTATTTCACTTACCAAAGTGTAAATGTTTATGTACACCAAGTCACTCAGTAGACTGAGGTATCAAACGAAAACATCTAAGATAGAAGAAGAATGTACAGTGGAACTAAACGTCAAATCTGCCTGGTACTGCTACATTGAGAGGAGCCATTTACAGGCTTCATCCGGCAGTAAGCTGTTGAGTGAAATGGTCCAAGTATCAATCTTGATGATCTTGATCAGCTGCTCAACACTTCTGGATTCCTCATTGAAGATTCTAGCATTTCTCTCTCTCCAAATGTTGTAGATTGTAGCCGTTAGTGCTAGTCTTTTAATTCTCTGTTTGCAGTCTTTTCCCCTCAACCTGAAAATATACCAATTCATGAGAATATGCCAATCCGTTGATCTCCAGTTGAACTTAAACCACTCCATAATGCCATTCCACACACTGTTGGAGAAGCTACAGTCAAAGAATATATGGTTTCTGTTCTCAACTCTTGCACCTTCACACAAGTAGCACTGGTTTGATTGGATGATCCCCCTCTTGAGCAATCTATCTTGTGTAAGAAGTTTATCTTGAATAGCCAGCCACGGGATCAAAGAATGTTTGGGATAGTTCAACTTTTCCCAAACAACATCATGCCAAACCACCTTAGAACCTGATTTTAAAGCACTATACAGAGCAGAGAGGTGGATTTTAGAGTTGACACAACAAGAGTTAATCAGATTCCTCAAGTTCACAACCCCACCCAAAAAGTTCACAACATTGTCTCTAGTTTTGATTAATTGTTTCTATAACCAAGAGTCCCCAACTTTAGCCTTCACTTGCCAGATATCACTATCCTTCAGATAAGTGCCATGAACCCATTTTATCCATAATGACTCTTTGTTGATGTGAATGTACTAAAGTGTTCTCAGCGCAGTTGCTTTATTCCATAGAGTAGCAGAAAAAATCCTCAAGCCTCCATTGATTTTTCCCGTAGATACATTGCTCCTAGCAACAAGAGGAACTTTGCCCCAGAGAAAATTCCTGCAGAGTTCATCAATTTTGTTAAGGACTTTACCTGGAAGGATATAACTAGAGGTTCAGAATATTTGCACTCCCAGTATCACTCTTAATGATTTGCAGTCTACCAGCGTATGACAAGTTTTTATTCTTCATCCATGCTTGAAACTGACTTGTTATTTTCATGAACAATGGATTACAGTCCAGATAAGACATCCGCTTGCATATGAGTGGCATGCCAAGGTATTTGATGGGCAATGCTCCTTCAGTGAACCCCAAGTTACTTGTAATTGCATTCTTAACTGGTTCTTGAACCCCACCATAGAATATTGAACACTTTGAAGGATTAGCTTCTAATCCAAATATATCAGCAAAGTCTTTAACACATTTGTAGATCCTTTGTATTGAATAAAAATCACCTTTGCTAAAAAGGAGGAGGTCATCAGCGATTCAGCAAAGACTAATGGTGTGTTTGGGAGTTTACGAAGGGAAGGGAAGGAAAGGTAAACAATGGGAAGGGAAGGGAAGGGAAGGGAAGAGAATTGTAATATGTTGTTTGGGAGTTGAGTAAGGTGAATGAAGGTGAAAGGAAGTAAATATATGTAAATTTACATAAATGACTTTATACTAATAACACTTCAGGCCTTTTATTTGTTTTGATGGGGGTAAGAATGTCATTACACCCCTTTACCCTCCTTTACCCTCCTCTACCGCCCAAATCGAGGGGGAAAGAAAACCAAACAATTTTAACCTCCTTTCCCCTTCATTCCTCCTCTCTACCCTCCTTAAAAAAACTCTCAAACAAGGTGAAAGCCTCATTTTTCTTCCCCTCCCCCTCTCTACCCTCCATCCAAACAGGGCATAAGTGTGAGATTTTGAATTTTCTACACTTTGGGTGGTATTTAAACTGTTTATCATTCCTTAGAAGTTCAATACTTCTGGACAAATATTCCAGACTAATAATGAAGAGGTAGGGGGAGAGGGGATCCCCTTGCCTTAAGCCTCTTTCTCCATTGAAGTACTCATGTAGTGATCCATTTAGTGAGATGGAGTATTTGGGGGAGGAGATACAGGACATGATCCAGTTTGTAAAAACTTCAGGAAACCCCAAGCCTCTAAGCATATCATGCAGAAATTCCCGCTAATAGTGTCGAAAGCTTTCCTTATATCAATGTTTATCATTACTCTGGGTGAAAGATTTTTCTTGCCATAGTTCTTGACAAGTTCATATGCTAGCAAGATATTACTGGAGATTTGTCTCCCCTTCACAAAAGCACACTAAGCCTTGTTTATGATAAACCCCATAACAGTTTGAATTCTATTTGCTAAATTTTTTTATATGAATTTATAGAGGTAATTACAACAGGAGATTGGTCTGAAATCAGCAGGGGTTTTAGGACATTGTACATTTGGAATCAATGCAATATAAGTTGAATTTACAGCTCCCAACAACTTCCCTGATCTAAAGAATTCCTTTATGGCAGATGTAACCTCATCCCCAATAACCCACCATGCTGCTTTATAGAAAGAGACACTATATCCATCTGGCTCTGGGGCTTTGTTATCTAGCATTGAGAAAAATGCTTCTTTTATCTCTTCATTTGTGACTGACATATAAAGCTCTCTCTTTTGATTATCCATCAGGCAGGGGTCATTGCTAATAACATTGATATCAGCAGTTGAAGTATGCTTTGCAGAGCCCATTAAGCTCTTATAGTAAGACATTGCTAATAACATTGATATCAGCAGTTGAAGTATGCTTTGCAGAGCCCATTAAGCTCTTATAGTAAGAGATAAACTCATTTACAATTTCCTCTCCATCAAGTATGCTTTGCAGAGCCCATTAAGCTCTTATAGTAAGAGATAAACTCATTTACAATTTCCTCTCCATCAGAAATTTTCCCACCAACACTATTATATAGTGTTAACACCCTATTTTGGTGTTAGATTTAATAATTGAGTGGAAAAAACTTGTATTCCTGTTACCTTGTATACTCCAAGTTATCCTTACCTTTTGCTGATAAAAAGATAGCTCACAAGCTAAAAGTTTATTGTATGTAGAAATGCAGCTCTTTTCTTGACTGATGAGCAGAGAGTTAAGGGGAACTTTAATTGTTATTTGAATGAGTTGACATGTACATCTATCATTTAGTGAAAACTAACTATGCAAGGAGAGGTGGAGACACCAATGGCAAGGAAATTCTGGCAAATACCAAAGAGTCTGAACAGAAGAAAAATAACCTATTGTATTCTAGTGGCAAAAGATGCATTAGAACAATAACAAAATCGTGATTTAAAAAATAATAATCCAAACATAAGAAAATACTAATAGAGATGGTCAATGGCAAGGGAACTTGTGATAAGAAAATACCAAATAATCCGAACGTAAGAAAACTAATCTCTTGCACTCTGGTGCCAAAAGACGCATCAGAATGAGGCAAACGACAATATGCAGTAAATAGATATGTCAGCGTTGTAGTAATATACTACCAGGCTTGAGGTCACGGTGAAAGTAACCATGTTGGTGCATACAAGCAAGAGCTTGAAATATTTGAAAACACCAATTCCAGACCTCAGACTCTCAGAAAAGCTTGCTTCTATCTTTTATAAGCTAGTAAGGATTGCATTCCTTGACAACATTCAAGAAAAAAGTCATAAGAATATGTCATAACCCCGCTACTGCAGTACAATAACAATCAAGGAAAGCACCGAAAACTGCCATGTACTCAAATACGAAGCACAAAATATCATTTTTCCTTATGACCTCCTTCAGTTTCACGATGGTAGGATGGTCCATCCTTCACAAGGCCTGAATAAAAGGAAACAATTAGTTTGAAAAGGAAAAGACACAGATTAGGGCATAGTGATTTTACCTTCACTTCCCAAAGATTCAGGCATTATTCCCAAGAATAATATTTTCTTTTAATTTTCTTAGTTGCAACCTGTCAAAGAAAGAGATGGTTAAAGTTCGTATAAAGCCCTTTTTTCCCTCTCCAATAAAACATTGACACACTTAAAGATCGTTTTAGAGAACATACAATTTCACCACTCTGTTTATTTATGGAGAACATACAATTTCACCACTCTGTTTATTTATGGAGAACATACAATTTCACCACTCTGTTTATTTATGGCACGCCATACACTTCCAAAAGCGCCATCACCAATTTCCTTTATTATTTTATACCTGCAATAAGGCAGATTTTCTGAGTAAATGACAGAAATTTATACCAATCTGAAACTCGAAAACTCACCGCTCCATCTTTTCAAGCGAAGAGAACAGAAGCTTCAAGGTTTTTATCAACGGAAATGGAGAATCTTTCACAAAGTATGATAGGAAATGCACCAAGTGAGCACATTTAACTTAAAACTCTTCAATGGAAGCAGAACTCATGTCAATATGCTCTGGCTTCTCCATAAGACTTGTAGGATAATTCACTGTATTAAGCAAGGAACTCATTCCATTGTCTCAGAAAGTAGCAACGCGCATCAGTATGATTGGAGTTCACAATTAGATGTGTCTGTAGCCAACTGGAAAGTAACAGAAATGGTAGCTCATAAATTAACCCTGAGCACATAAATGACAAAGCAAAACAAGAATCAGATTCTTAAATAAAACTAGATAAAATGGTTATCCACAGAACTGTATGAATATTTCAGTGGACCAACAATATATTCCATACCCCATAAATTATATCTTCGATGTTGTGCTCGAAATCTAAGCAGATGTTGTTTTTGTATAATGCACATGATGTTTGATTATCTGTAGAAGGCACCCTAGTTCTGACAGCTTCAGAATAGAGTTACCCATAGAGGTCATGGAACACCAAGAGGCCACTAGGTAAAGTTGACAAATGAGATGAGAAGAAAGTACATATGAATGATGAACCTCCAATGTAGAGCTTTGTGGAATGATATAACTCCCCGCTCATAGCAACCTGATATAACATGCTCAAGTTCCATATCTTGAAAAATAGTGCTAAATCCACAGAAACAGACCAAGGAAGAACCTAGCAAAACAAGACCAGAGTGAGGTGTTATTTAATTTCAAATAGTATGTTGAATACACAAGAAAAACAGCTACAAGAATGAAACTAACGTAATAATGGACAAAAGCAACTAGTGAAACAAATTTAACAATATGGACGATATTCCACCAAAAACGATAGACAAATTCTCAAAATGAGCTTGTCCAGATTCAGATCAGTTAAAAGATCATCTGGAAAACCAATGGAGAAGCATGTAGAGGGGTGACATGTGGGAAAACAACAAGGATATTGTTTGCCACGGCAAAGTCACAGGATAACTATGTTGCATGGTTACTTCTATCTGCAGTCGCACCCACCAAAACTTCACTGGACACTCCTTGGATGTAAGCACACGGTTGGACTCTTGGATGTATGCACACTTACTCAACCATGTGCTCAATTATGTAATACATGTTTAATTTAAAATGCTCATCATACACTTCTTGGACATAAATCCTACGAATATACTTCTTCAAACCGAAGGACACAGATATGGTTCGTTTCAACCCCTACCTAGCTTGGAACTATGATCTTAAAAGGTCTTTCAGATTTCTAATTCAAAACCGAGCATTTTTAATTTATAAATTGATATAATAAAAATCCTAACAATATTGATCTATGTCAATTATTATATATGTATGTTTATATAGGCATATCCTCTCACCCTGTATTTTACAAATTTGTCATGTCTCCTACCAGCACCCGCATTTCTACCCATATCCGTGTAACATAGCAGGACACATTAAAAAGAAAGGTAACAGTACATATAACATATAGATCCAGAAACCATAGGACTCATATCTTAAGTACTATATTCTCTTGGGGGGTTTTAAATTACATCTCACATTGTAAATGGATCTATAAAGCATAGCGGAATCCAACATGAAAAAAAGTTGTGCCATGGGATTTCAAAGAAGTGCTATGACAACTTAAAGCATTCACTCAATTTATTCTAAAAGAAGGATTCCTGATTTATGCCTCATTAACAAAAGAGCCCATTACTTCAGAGGTTTTACATATGTAGGTTTTCTTGTCAGATAGGTAATGGCCTGCTAGGATTTTGCTAAAGATCGATGAGGTGGCTTCATAATATTTTGCCTTAACCATGACAATCCAAATCGGTGTTTTCCGTACTATCTTGCAGTATCCTTGTTCCAACACTTTACTCCTGATTCCAATCTACAACAATCATTTGATGTTTTCTTCTAATAGCTTGATACTAAACCATTTCTTTCTTCTGAGCAAGTCTGGAACAAACAAAGCTTTCACCATTCAACTATAGGTCCAAGCAATCTTAAACCTTGCTAATAGCAAGTTTTTTAATTAGACAGAAGACGAGCTTGTTGAGGTGATTAATATGTGAGTATAGTCTCACATCCGATTAAGATAAGAAAGAATGATGAGTTTAAATAGGCGTTTGTGTCAATACCTGATAGCTATAGTTTTTTGGTTAAAATTGATTCCTAACTTCTGTTTAACGCTCATCAACTCTAGATTGAGTCTGATTTCTCCCCCAACAATGATATCAAAGCTAAGGTCATAGTCCAAGTAATTTTAAAAAACAGATGATCTTCGATGTGAAGCTCGAAGGTGTCGGGAGAATCCCCGGATGCCCGTAGGAGTGATATTCTCTAGTTAGCCACCATGAGCGAAATGGTGGAAGTTCCTATAGATGTTTAATAGCTATGTGCAGAATGCATGGTCTGATTAAGTCCACGAGTGAAGTGCTGCAAAAGTTTGTAAATTTGTTAGCTCACGAGTGAAGTGGTGCAAAACTTAGTGAATTCCGTGGAAGATTGAATTATAGTTGAATTGAACTATACTCACATATTAAGGGAGAGTTGTTGAGATGATTAATATGTGAGTATAGTCCCACATCAGATAAGATAAGAAAGAGTGACGAGTCTAAATAGAAGTTTGGGTCAATATTTAATAGTTATAGTTTTTTGGTTAAAATTGATTTCTAACTTCTGTTTAAGACCCATCAGCTCTAGATTGGGCCCAATTTCTCCCCAAACAGAGTTAAGGCTTAAGAAAGATCCGTCAATACTAAACTTAAACATCAGGTAGGTGACGATCATATGGGAGACATATATTGAGAAAATCATGAGCTCATTCTTGTCACCGCAAAATAACTCGGCTACTATGACAAAAATTGTAAGAAAATTTACTTTTTTTGCCAGATTCCTATGCCAAACTGACAATGGAGCTACATATGTTTATAGCATTCAGAACCATTTGATGATTAAAGACGTTATTTAAGCATAAGAAACTATAGACTTAACAAAACATTATATCATTTTAACATTATATTATACCGATCATTAACCTAGGGGAAACTTGTGTCAATGCCCCAAAAGCAATATCTTCATGTGCTGCAGCCCCTTCACTTTTTTTCCATGTTGTTTAGTCCCAAGAAGTGTTACATCTTGTGCTGCAGTCCTCTTTTAGTAATTATTACCAGCCAACTAAACTTATAGAGAATAAAAAGTACAAAACCTCAAAATGCTCTTATCTCTTTCATGTTAGGTCTACTTAGAACTAACATGAACTCTTATTAGAACTAACATGAACTCTAATTAGAACTAACGCGAACTTTTATTAGAACTAATTTAATTCCTTTGAAGTCTAATTTAAATCATGTTATATCTAATTCAACTTATTTTAAGTCTAATTTAATTAGACTTAACATAAAATTAGACTTAAAAAAATTGAATTAGACTTAATATTATTTAAATTAGACTTAAAAGGAATTTAACATGATTGAAATTAGACTTAAAATTTAATGTTAAGTCTAATAAAAATTCGTGTTAAGTCTAATTTCATGTTAGTTCTAATAAAAATTCGTGTTAAGTCTAATTTTATGTTAGGTCTAATAAAAGTTCGTGTTAGGTCTAATTTCATGTTAGGTCTATTAAAAATTCATGTTACGTCTAATTGGAGTTCATGTTAGTTCTATTTCGTGTTCGTGTTAGTTCTAATTCATGTTAGTTCTATTTCGTGTGTTCTCATGAATTTTCCCTTCTTTTTTTCGTGTGTTCTCCTATTCACTGACTTTTTTTTGTGTGCCTGAGGCTGCCCTCTGCTCTCTTTTAATTTTTGGATTTTGTCTTTTGCTCCTCGTCTTATTCTTCTTTGTCCTTTTCTTCCTTTCGTCCTTTTTCTTTTCGTCCACTTTTTCTTTTATGAGATTTTTTTCTTTTTTTTCTTTCTGTGTTGTGCGTGTCTGAGGATGCCAGCGCCTTCTCCCTAATTTTATTTATTTATTTATTTATTTGTGTCTTTCTTCTTTGGTCTTGTTCTCAATTTTTCATCTTCTTCTGCCCTTTTTTTTGCTTAAATTTTTTTAGGTCCCCATGTCTCCTAACATGAAATTTTAGGTCTAATTGATGTTTATGTCAGTTCTATTTCGTGTTTGTGTTAGTTCTAACTCAGTTTGTGTTAGTTCTAATTCATGAATTAGAACTAACATGACTGAGTTAAAACTAACACGAACTGAGTTAGAACTAATATGAATTTTCTCTTCTCTTTTTTTTCGTGTGTTCTCCTGTTTCCTGACGTTTTTTTCGTGCGCTAGAGGCTGCCCTCTGCTCTCTTTTGATTTTTAGAATTTTTTTGTCTTTTTCTCCTCGTCTTATTCTTCTTTGTCTTTTTCTTCCTTTCATCCTTTTTCTTTTCATCCACTTTTTCTCTTATGAGATTTATTTTTGTTTTTTTCTTTTCGTGTTGTGTGCGTTTGAGGATGCCAATGCCTTCTCCCTAATTTTTTTTATTTATTATTTTTTTCGTGTTTGTGTTAGTTCTAATTCAGTTCGTGTTAGTTCTAATTCATAGCACGAACTGAGTTAGAACTAATACGAACACGAAATAGAACTAACATGAATTGAACTAACACGAACACTAAATAGAACTAACATGAACACCAATTAGACCTAATGAGTTAGAACTAACACGAACACGAAATAGAACTAACATGAACTCTAATTAGACCTAACACGAATTTTTATTAGATCTAACATGAAACTAGACTTAACACGAACTTTATTACAACTAACACGAACTTTTATTAGACTTAACATAAAATTAGACTTAACATAAACTTTTATTAGACCTAGCACGAAATTTTAGGTCTAATTGGTGTTCGTGTTCGTTCTATTTCGTGTTCGTGTTCGTGTTAGTTCTAACTCAGTTCGTGTTAGTTCTAATTCATGTATTAGAACTAACACAAACTGAGTATGAACTAACACGAACACGAAATAAAACCAACATGAACACCAATTAGATCTAACATGAGTTAGAACTAACACAAATACGAAATGGAACTAACATGTATTAGAATCCACTTTTATTAGATCTAACACGAACTTTTATTAGATCTAACACGAACTTTTATTAGACCTAACATGAAATTAGACTTAACACGAATTTTTATTAGACCTAATATGAAATTAGGCTTAACACGAACGTTTATTAGACCTAACACGAAATTTAAGTCTAATTTCAATCATGTTAATTCTTTTTAATTCTAATTTAAATCATGTTATGTCTAATTCAATTTTTTTAAGTCTAATTTCATGTTAAGTCTAATTAAATTAGATTTAAACAAGTTGAATTAGATATAACATGATTTAAATTAGACTTAAAAGGAATTAAATTAGACTTAATATGAATTAAATTAGACTTAAAAGAAAATTAGACTTAAAATAAGTTAAATTAGAATTAATATGAATTAAATTAGACTTAAAACAAATTGAATTAGACATAATCGAATTTAAATTAGACTTAAAAAAATTAAATTAGATTTTACATGAAAGAATAGAGTAGATAAGGGCATTTTGGGATTTTGTATTTTTTATTCTCTCTATGCTTAGTTGGCTGGTTAAAATTTGCTAAAAGAGGGCTGTAGCACGAGATGTCACACTTCTTGGGGTTGAACCACATAGGAGAAAAGTGAAGAGACTACAGTACATGAAGATATTGCTTTTTGGGTCTTGACATAAATTTCCCTTAACCTAGATATAAACATGCAACAGAAAAATCACTAAAAATACAAATCGCCTCAAAAATTATTTTAAAAAAAATCACAAAGAAAAAACCCTGCAAACTAACAAATTATAAGCGATTAAAGATTACAAACCCTAGATTTACTAATAAGAAACCCCAGAGCCACCTCATATCCTTCGACTCACATCAGAGTTCCGTTACACTAATAAGATTTTTTTTTTTTTTTTAAACCTTAAAAATCGCCAGGTGAGATCAATTAAAATCGCCGGCAATTTCTAGGGTTTCGACCCTCCGCGAAATCAAAGGAGAACAAAAAAGAAATTGAAGGACAAATTTTACCTCTTGAAGAAGAACCTCCTTCGCCTCCCACGTACGGTAGGCAAAGGCCGATCCCAAGATCGACGCGCAACCGTGAAATTTATGGGATAAAAATTCTATTTTCTTTTTTACTCGTTTTTATTTTAACTGATTTCTGAAATTAGGAAAGAAAATGGAAAAATTAGCGAAGGAAGGAGAATCCAGCGGGGAGCTCGTCAGTCAGTTATAATCTCACTGACGTCATGTGTCGGTTTGTTCGGGGTTGTTCCTTGTTTTATCTACGGTTTTCTTTGCATGTGCACCCTTCCATTATGAGTATTTGCAAAACTTTCCCAAATCCCAGCCAATATTTACGAAGCTATCCAAAATTAACAACGCATCAACTTTATGGGGTGTGACTACGACAATTAAAATTTTGACTAGTTTTGTTGATTTTTGGTTTATATCGCAGTTACAAGTAAACCCAAGTTCACCGTTTGTTGAATTTTTTAGTAATTATTTTCAAGGTTGCTGATTTGGGATAGTATTGCAAATAGGAGAAGTTTGGCAAATACGCGGAATTATATAAAAAGGAATCTTTTTTCCCATAATATACTACTTTTATAAAAAAAAAACAAACTAAGGGGGTGTTTGGTTAAATGAAGGTGACTCGAATTTGTGAAAATCACTTATTTTTGCAAGTGTGAAAGTGAATCTATGTCAACATGAAAGTGAAATGCAATGTTTGTTTGTAAAAATGAATTAATCTTGGAACTAGGAAAATAAAGATGATGTGGCGATTATTTAATTGTTTGTTATTTAAATTCATATTACGCTCTAAACTCTAATAATTATTCTGGTAACAACTAAAGAACGAATTGAAAGCCTCGGGTATATATATCATCAATTACTTGTACTAATTTTTATATATTCTTTGTATTCTGTATTTTTTTACTTATGTACTTTATATTTTTTTAATAACGTAATGGCTTATCAACAATCACGCTAAAATGTGTAGTCATGTTCATAAATTGTCTAATTCGTACTATATACATGACATAACAATGTACACAGTTATTAAATGCTATAAAAGAAAAAATATAATTAGCATGTAAGAAAATTTTGGGGGGAGGTCCGAATAACATAGGAAAATAAGTTAAGATAAATAATAAATATACTAATTAATTAGAAGTGGTCCCCACTTTTTTCTTACTTTCACTTGACTTCAGTACTTTTTTAGGGGAACTTAAACATGCATTAGAGCTGATGTGGACTCATTTTAACATTTCACTTTCAAAATTACTTTCAATAAAACAAACACCAAAAATCTTAAAATTATTTCACTTTCATACTTTTACAATTCACTTTCATAAAAACAAACACCCCCTAAGTGAAGTAGAGGAATGAGGGAAAATTCCTCCAACCATAATTTATTTTTTGGGGAAAATCTTGATTTCTTTAGGTCAATTTCATAATTTTAAATGAATGGACATTTTGTCCATATTCTTTCTTCATTGGATGCTCTCTCGCAAAATAAATAAATAAATAAATTTATTTACAATCAATTTAGCAAACAAATCAAATCTACAACCTAACTACTAACAAGACCTTGAATATTAGAGATTGTAAAAATAACAAATCCAGGAATCTAAAGTATTAAAATTAATACTAAATTTCAAATTACAAAGACTAAAGAATCATTATAATAAGTTATCAGAAAAAGAATAATGGTAATAAACAAGGTCGGTTATACACGAGATGTATAAAAATGTAATGACTAATTTTTGCATATAGATCAACGTTAATTGAAATGCTATAAAAAATAAAAATAAAGATACAAAACTATAGTACCAAAAAGAATTCAACTCCCTACTTAAATAAATAAAATATATTAGATGTCAATACTTAAATTAATTAATAAACTTAAAATTATACGAAAATAACACTGTGATTGGGAATTGGAATGAGTAGGTAGGATTATGACACATCACTACCAAACACAAAATTTGTACTTGGTACCAAGCATACCCATTTTTCTTTTATATATATATATATATATATATATATATATATATATATAGAGAGAGCACGGTTATTTCAACACAAAAAGCAAAAATTAACAAACTTGTTTCATTCCAACACATCAAAGCGTGAAGCATTACAAAATACCGATTCCACAACACATAATTTCCTCGCTTACAAAGTCTTGTTTCATTCCAACACATCACATAATTTCTTTCATGGCCAAAAAAAGAGACAACAAAAAAGCTATAACAGTTAACCATTTCCACAACACTTTTTCACGTACAACAACCACGTCACGCGCCTCTGGTGGGGCAATGACGAGTGGTATTTGTTCAACTGATGAAATCTTGCACCAGCCCAAAAACGAACCGCACTTTTGCCTTTTACACGAGTAGTAAATTCTACCACGATTATTGTTCTTGTTCGACTTCGTTATCTTCACATCCGCTAATTCACCACACTCGCATTGTTTCAATATGAATCTAATATCAACTTCAACACAGGAGTTGCCTTCCACAGTTGATGATGAAGCCATTTCAATCTGCTAATTTTGAACAATTAACAAAATTCTGAGAAAATTCTACCATGGTTAATTTTTGAACAATTAACAATTAACAAAATTTTCAATCTGCCAATTTTGAATAATAATATAGCTATCAAACCTTACAAAGTCTGACTAGTTTTCCAAGAAACAGATGTATTTTGGGAACTTTGACCATTTAACAAAATTTTTCCATTGCATTAATTATTCCAGCAAAAACAGATCAACTACACAAAAATTTTGAGAGATTTAAGAGATAAACTGATTATTCCAGCATCAATTTTGAGAGATAAACTGATTATTCCAGCAACAACAGATAATCAATTATTCCAAATTGCAACGCCTAAAGCTACACAAATAAACTACACAAAAATAACAGATAAACTACATAATTATAACAGATAAACTACACAACCAATTTTTAAGATCGAGCTCAGATAATAGGTAAAAAACTTGAGAAGCATGTAACGAAACTTGTTATAAAGAAGTTCGTGGACTAGCACATATGTAGGCAACATGGCAAAAACACAGATTCATCGCTGCAGAATTACAGTCAATGTTGAAGTTCATTGCATCAATTATTCCAGCAAAAACAGATCAACTACACAAAAATTTTGAGAGATTTAAGAGATAAACTGATTATTCCAGCATCAATTTTGAGAGATAAACTGATAACAGATAAACCCTATGGACGAAAATAACAGATAATAGGTAAAAAAATTGGGGCTTGATCGTTACCTGAGTTGGGAGATTTAAGATCGAGCTCAGACTTCGTCGTCGGGCGAGAATAGGGCTTCGTCGTCGGGCGAGATGCGAGCTTCGTCGTCGGGTGATTAGGGCTTCGTCGTCGGTGTGGATTTGGGGATTCGTCGTCGGCGAGATTAGGGGAAAGCCGACCTGGGCCTGCTTGAAGAAGACGGAGCTTTCGACGTCGGACGAATTGGGAAGGAGCGGCGGACCAGGACGTTTTCCGACCGCAGCTTGCTTCGACGGAGCTGACAAGGCCGAGATCGCGGTGGAGCTGAAGGTTCGACGTCGGAAGGAGGAGGGGTTTTCCGACCAGAGAAAGCTTGCTTCGACGGAGCTGACGAGGCCGAGAAAGCTTGCTTCGACGGAGCTGACCAGGTCGGATTTTTTTGGGAACGATTTGAGGGATTTGGGGATTTTTGTTTTAGGGAAGCAAAGGTTTGGGGGAGAAATATCAGGAGTGAGCCTCGAAAAATGGGAAACTTTGAAAACCAACTTTGATCACGAGAAAGCTTTCTCTCGTGCGATTTTTGCAAAAAAGCCCCCCAGGTCGGAAAATGCGTACGCATTATCCGTATAGGAAACGTGCTGTATATATATATATATATAGTCTGTGTTAATTTTCTTCAAAGTATGTAGTTACAATTTCTATTTTTGGTCACGTGCATTATGCATGTGCGATCCAGCTAGTCCGTGTAACTCCAAACTCTCATTGCATACTTATCCATCAAATGTCATTATTTTCTATTTTCTCTCAATATTTTCTAAACGTTAGTCAAAATAAATGTTTCATATAAACTTTGTTAATTTCCAAACGCAAAAGCGATAAAAATGACAAAAATACATGCCCCACCTCGTCGGCCACCCTCTCTCCTTTACCCTAGCTCCCTTGCCGTTGGCCACCTCAACTACATTGGCCTCTCGTCGTTGGCGACACCTCTCTGTCTCTCCCCTTAAGTCCCTCCCTCAATTCCGTCAATGTAATCTATTTTAGGATAGATTAGTCCTATTTTAAAAATACTAATCATCTTTTTTTATTTATTTATGGAGAAGCACTTCATTCATTAATAAGTAGCAGATAAATCTTGAAGTACAAATCTCTGTAAGTATACAGGAATAAAATCTCTCCATACTTGATCTTGCATGAATCTAGTTCCTGACTGAGCAAGAGAATGAGCCATACAATTGGCTTCTCTCCTCGTAAAAGCTAAGCTACGAAAGACAAATTCTCTAACGAGTAACTTAATATCATCAACAATGGGCCCAAATGGTGGAAGAGAAAAACACTAATCATCTTAATATAATATACATGTTTGCTAACTTTGAAATACTAATCATTTTAATAGAATATGAAGGAATACATTGCGTATGTTTCCTAACATAAAATTCGGGAGTATTTCAAGGCCTCTGAATATTCACAGATTCAAAGAAATCAAAAGCAAGCCTTATTTTGCACAAGGATAGAGACCAAACAAAAATAGTTTAAAGAAATTTGCTCCGCTTATGATAAATAGCAACCAACCAAGAAAAAACAATGCATTCTTCGAGAGACACAAAAATAAACTTGTCCCTTCATATTCAGTACAGTTGTTGATTACAACCAACTGAAAACACTTCAAAACGATGGCGATGAGCGTTCCTCATAATTGAAGCAATAATGTGGGTGCCATAAATGCATTCAGGACAATCAAACACGCACCGCACGGAAATGTAATTTTCAACAACGAAAAATTCCTCAATGACCCAAAATATGGGACCAATAGAGGAGACACCTCACTTGTCCCCTCTATTGGTCCCATATTTTGGATCTCTGTAGCAAAGCCCCTGAAGTTTTTGCGTTAGAACTCGAGTACTCCAGAACCAAAATGAGATTCTCACTTTATAATCTTTTAGTCCAAATAACAATTACATTATTACTTTGTTTTTTAGAACAACAAATACATTGTCACAAACAGGAGATGACTCGAACTAACCTTTTCTTTCACATAGGTTGGTAAAAGAAATTGGGGGTAAAACTAACAGATGTATATAAGTTGTAAGTATGCAATTCAATAATAATAATAGAAAGAAGAAACTCGCAGCTTCAACAATTTATAGTTGGAAATACTACACGTGCTCCGTAATAAAATTTCACTCCACCAAAATCCACCAAAAACCTTTCTACCTGTCACGTGAAAGAACAAAAAATACAATTGACCAATTGGCTCAAACACCCCTATATCCCATAACAAATTTCACCCTATTGACAAAGAATAATCTAAATAGCCTGAGACGAAAACATAGTATAGTTTCCAGAAATATACTGTTGTTGTACCCTGCTTCCA